GCCATACAGCTCGCTGAAACAGAATCTCTGGAAACAGGACACAGGAGTGGTCTGTATTTAGAAACATTTCTGGGGGCATTTTTGCGTACTGTATACGAAATCTTGAGAACCAAAGTTTCACTGGATCTCCAGTTTGTTCTTTGAAGCTCAGGAAAACCTTAATTTTGCTCTACTATTTTTTTTTTTAACATCTCTAAGTATCCATGTTTAAGTAAATGTATTAGTTTCAGACTATTCTTGGTAGTATTTTGTTAAACGTAGGTAACAACTTACTGCACAGTTTGTCATTTCAAGAGGTAAAGCATATGACTGCACATGAAACCGGCTGGCATTGTCTAATATGTTGACAATAATTACCTAACAATTATTGACATTGTTGCATCCTACTGTCAACAGGAATAACGTGTCTCTTTTTCCCTGTGTTTATGACTGGACACATTTGCCTGCTGAGATCCATAAACAATAGTGAAATAAATGAATCCTATGGCCAGTGCAGTAGCATGCATGACTCTTGCCATAGTGGCAGTTTGCCGTGCTGGCTGAGAGGAGGTGGTACTCTGACACGTCTCGGCTCTGCACTCCTCAGCCTAGTAAAGATACGGCCTTTTGATGCATGGGATGTCCCAGAGAGCTCAGACATTATTCTCTGCTGACCTTAGTGGATGGTCTCAAGAACTTATGGGGTGGAAGGGAAATGAAGTCATAGAAGTATTTAAAAAAAAGAAAGAAAGAAAATAAATAAGTCCAGTTCTTATTTGAAAAATAGACACATGTTGAATATCCAAGGCCTTTAGATCACAGGAGATAACATTAAACAAACTCCTTTCTGTTAACAAGAAATTGTGTTTTACTGTCACAGATCTCCACCCAGATTGGCCCTTGAATTTGCATTATTCACACAGTGAGACTGGTTTCACCTGTTTGCAATTGTTTAACTATTAGTCATCAGTTCAGAGGTTGCTTAAGCTGATTTCGCCAGCAGTTTATCTTATATACATTTTATTTATTTATATATTTATATATTTTTGAGACAAGAGTCTCAATCTGTCGCCCAGGCTGGAGTGCAGTGGCACCATCTTGGGTCACTGTAACCTCCAGCTCCCAGGTTCAAGCAATTCTCCTGCCTCAGCCTCCCAAGTAGCTGGGATTACAGGTGTGCACCACCATGCCAGGCTAATTTTTTTTTTTTTTTTTTTGTACTTTTGTAGTAGAAACGGGGTTTCACCACATAGGCTAGTCTGGTCTCTAACTCCTGACCTCAGGTGATCTGCCCGCCTCGGCCTCCAAAAGTGCTGGGATAACAGGCATGAGCCACTGCACCTGGTGCTTATACACATTTAAAAATTACACATTAGAAATCAACAAAGGTGACACACCTGTTACATATTGTCAAAGGAGAAAAAAGATCTAAAAACAATTTGGAAGAGAAGTCAGGCCATTACACCAGGGAGAACTAACATCTTAGTCTTTTTTATGAAAAGAAAGAAAAATAAATAAATGGGGTGGAGGATTTGTTATCAGGTTTAGAAATAAGAAAGAAAGAAAAAAGAAAGAAGAAAGAAAGAAAGAAGAAAGAAAGAAAGAAAGAAAGAAAGAAAGAAAGAAAGAAAGAAAGAAAGAAAGAAAGAAAGAAAGGAAGGAAGGAAGGAAGGAAGGAGAAAGAAAGAAAGAAGAAAGAGATACCCAATTAAGTTTGAATTTCAGATAAACAAGGAATAATTTCTTAGTATAAGTATGTCCCTTAGTATAAGTATATCCCTGAGATATACTTATGGTGAAAAATTATTTACTATTTATCTGAAAATCAAATTTAAGTGAGTGTCCTGTATTCTCTCTGGCAACCCTACTTAAGTAGTGCCTTTTTAATCTAAGTTTGAAAAAAATCCTTTTAGAAAACAGATGTCTTCAGGAAACTGGGTCACGGATTCAACAGCATAAATACTTGCTAATTATGTTGCACAGTGTCATGGGATTATATATTTATTAAATATAAATAAACTAGCAATAGTAGTGACTGAAACTTACTTTGATTTGAAAACCCATCCATTTTATTTATCTTTTTTTTTTTTTTTTTTTGAGACAAAGTTTTGCTGTGTTTCCCAGGCTGGGGTGCAGTGAAGTGATCTCAGTTCACTGCAACTTCTACCTCCCTGACTCATGCGATTCTCCTGCCTCAGCTTCCTGAGTAGCTGGGATTACAGGCGCCACCACCACACCTGCCCAATTTTTGTATTTTTAGTAGAGAGGGGGTTTCACCATGTCGGCCAGGCTAGTCTTGAACTCCTGACCTCAGGTGATCCAACACCTGAGATAAACTGACTGGGCTTCTGTTCCCTGCAACAAAAGGAGCTTGATTACTACAGATCTGTACCTTCAGGTAAATAAAACAACTCAGATTCTCAAGTTGGAATCTTTACCATCCTGATTTGAGAAGCAATAAAGAATCAAATCACCAGACAATATGTACTCACAGTTATCAAACACTGCCTTTACAGAGCTATTAGTTGCCTTAGGGAAACAAGGCAAAAAGTCATTAAGCGGGTGAAATGTTTGCATTTCTGTTCACATCTGCTGCAAAGAGCTGACACTAGTTTAAAACCTATAGACTGGAAGCAAACTGCTTTCCAGTCTGAGTATTATGCGTTATTCAGCCATTAGCAACACTGTTTTTTCTTTTTTTTTAACTTTACAAGAAATTTAAATAAAACTTTCTTTACCCTGAGTGGATTTCATGTTTGGGTCAACACTGGCCTTTTATTACCTACATAGTCCTCAAAGAGCAGCAATTAATTTCAAGTGTCTGAGGAGGAAATGAGTTCTCACAATTATATTTTGAAAGTGTTTTTGAAATTATCCATGGTATATTAAGGGAGATTTATCTGCTGGCTAATGGAAATTTAAACCTAGCATTCAAGAGAAAGGTTAGGGCCGGGCGCGGTGGCTCAAGCCTGTAATCCCAGCACTTTGGGAGGCCGAGACGGGCAGATCACGAGGTCACAAGATCAAGACCATCCTGGCTAACACGGTGAAACCCTGTCTCTACTAAAAAATACAAAAAACTAGCTGGGTGAGGTGGCGAGCGCCTGTAGTCCCAGCTACTCCGGAGGCTGAGGCAGGAGAATGGCATGAACCCGGGAGGTGGAGCTTGCAATGAGCTGAGATCCGGCCACTGCACTCCAGCCTGGGCGACAGAGCGAGACTCCGTCTCAAAAAAAAAAAAAAAAAAAAAAGAGAGAGAGAGGTTAGGACTATAGGTATAGAGACTGGGAAGTTATTGGCATATAGGTGATAATTAAAGCTGGAGGTAATTAAAACAAATGGGAAGGGGGATTGTACAGTGAAAAGACAAGAAGACAAAGGTTACTATCTAGGGACTTTTCCCCAAATCCACCATCATCAGATTCACTTGTGGAACCTGTTGTTCTCAGGTCCTACCCTGGACCTATTGAGCCTAGAAGGTTGAGGCAAGGGAGACCCCAGGAGTCTGCATTTTGAAAAAGCATCCTAGGTGATCCTTATGCAACCCCACAGAGCCAAGGGTATATTTGCCTCAGTCAAAAAAAGGATATCAAAAAAAGAAACGTATGAGTTGCCTCCTGGATGGTGGCTGCTGTTGGTTAAAGCTGCATCTGCACATCTATCAGTGGTTCCTGGCACACAGGACTCAAGAACTGCAGTATTCTTGAGGCCACTGGGACCTCCAAACATCAGAAATTAGTTAAAAATACTTAAATGGAATTGGTCACAGCCTTGGTTCCTTGTCCCTGCACTGAACTCTCCCATCACCCTACTATGAACCACCTAGAGTATACAAGGATCATTTGTGAATTGCCACAGTGGATTCTTCTGGGGATTTCTTGGTAGGGTTTTTTCCTTGACTTAGTCACAGCAGTGGGTTGAAGGTAGAGGATCCGAGGTGGTGGCCAACTCAGAGGCTATGTAAAGTAAAAGAACATGACTCAACAATGAGTGATACATTGTCACTAAGTGCCCTGTGCCCAGCTTGGCCTTTGTACCAAGGCCTCCTCTGTGCCCTCTGCCAGTAGGTTGAGGAAGCCATAATCATACAGGCCAGAACTCAAGCACTATGAGAGATTTGGGAGTACTGGCAGGCCACAGACCTCTGAACCCAAAGTTACCTTTCTAGAGGTTGGTGAGGGGGATTGCACTGGCCATTGGCCACTGGGGCTGCCTGGAAGTTCCAGAATGTGGCCCCAGATGCACTCCAGGGGGTTGGGAAGGTATGCCCGGAGGGTTTATTTGAAGAGGGCAAGCTGTTGTGCCACCAGAAAGAATAACTCTTACGCCTAACAGCTGCAACTGGCCTGGCACAGACCAGGAAGCAATGAGTCAGGTCAAACCAGTTCTAATAGTGCTTGCTTCCAGTGGTGCTTGGCAGTCAATCCTATAAGATGCTTTGATCTTTTCAACTGGTGACTATTTCGTAAAGAACTATTTTTATAATATATGGTATTTTTGCTTAAGTAATTTCATCTTCAGCTCACGATGAATTTGAAGAAGTGACTTTCCACAGAACTGGATGTTGCTCAGGAGTGACAGGTTGCTAACATGTAGGAGTGGGGTGGAGTTTCTTGGCGTGGAGCATGTTTCTGTAGGGGATTGATTATGGGTAGCTGTGAAGATCCTAGAATTGCTATAAATGTATATGGGGTTATTTTGAAATAAAAATGCTTATAACTTGTTGTCAGTATTGAACAATTGGGGCTGTTAAGTGCAAGTTTACATCATTGGGATAAAATGTATATGTTCTCTGCCATTACCTTCCCAAGGGAGCAGATGTAAATCTTACCTGAAGAGTAACTTGCACTTTCCTTCTGGAGGGTGGGGTAAGCAAGCCTTGGGCAGCTTTACTGTGAGCCTTGGTAATAGCTATTTCATATATTGTGAGAGTCAACTGCTTAAAACGGTTTTGCCTTCAGAGAAAAGCACCGGAGAGAGACAATAAAGCATGAAGTGGGTGTGTGTGCAAGCACGCTTATGAATGTGGCACGCATAAATGTTTATGCTTATTTCTCCTTGTTATACACACTCATTGTAAATATTTCCAAGATCATAGAAATATAAACCCATCTTCTACAGACAAGCAGGATTAACAGCTTAAATATTCTTGAAATTTTAGATACACAATCACATGGATGATCAAGAAACTGCTCTCCATAAAAGGTTAGGGATCATACAAATCCCTGGGAAAACACATTTCCTGTGGGAGGGATGAGATAAATGCTTGTAATAAGATGTATTAACCATCCTCAGAGACAGATCCAAACAGGCAAAAATCAACAGCAAACTGGGACGCGACTGCTGGGGTAGCTAGACGTCACCCTTGTATGCACACCAGAAGCCAAGAGATTTACCGAGCTCCCAGATGCAGGCACATCCTTCCTTTCTTTAAATCCGATTTTCTTGCCATCTGTTCCTTTACTCCAGCCTTGGCTGTAAACAAAGTTTATGCACAGCAATGCGTTGTGTTGCCAGGCAGCTCTCCTCGCTCCTCTGCAGCAAAGTCAGTTCTGGAGTGAAATCTGTGGGCTTCATCATTATCCATTTTCTCTAATAATATAAATTGTGAGAGAATAGAAATTGGTCTTATAAATTGGATTTTCAACTTCATTTGGGGAATATGGTATGACACACACTGTCTGGTTTTGAAAATTCTGTAAGGAAACATCTAAATGAGTTGGGAGGATTTAAGTCATAGAAAAGGATTTCCCTGGCCCTCAAGAACGGTAAGGACATTGTGCAGGGGGCAGTCTCAAGGGCCACAGTAAATCGGTCAAGGAGAAACTAACTCAGCGGCTGCAGTGCAAAGGAACTTGCTGCCTCCAAGGTTGCAATTTGACATGGGGCGGGGTACGCGGCGGGATGGAGGCAGGAGGCGTGCAAGATGACTTAGAGATGTGTGTCTGGGAAGTGAGCTGGTGGCCCTGAGAATGTACTAGCAGTTGTGAGGAGGGATTAGTTGACCTTTGGCCTCAAGCTATATAATATTTATCATGCACTCTTCCTGGGAGAAGCTTGGAGCAGGACACATCTTTGAATGGATTCAGTTAATCCTTTTACTGTCCTATGAGTAATCAGAGAAGTAGAGAGAAGCAAACAGAAAAAAAAATTCCACATGTAAAGGGGTCACTGCCATGGCAAAGGAGAAAATAACATTCACTCTGCTAAGCAACAACAGGAAAAGTCAACCTTGTGATCCTTGCCCACCGATTCTCAGAGTCCAGGCAGTGGCAGAAGCGGGCAGAATTTCCTCAGAGTGTGCATTCTGATCACTGCAGGTAACTGTTCATTCAGTCCCCACCATGGTTGGGGAAAGGGACTTGCCTGTTTGGGGGAACCCATGGTAACGGGACAAGCTTTTGCCATTGCAGCTGGGACTGATGACTTATAGGGATGATTAAGCAAAGAGGTGAATACATTGAGCATGATGACAGTCACATTTCTTGCTGTCAGAAGGGAATTATAAATACTGAAAGGGGAATGGCTCGAATAAGCCCTGTGGTATTAGATTGGAGGAAGAGGAACCAATGTGAACTCATCGCTTTATGTAGACATTGACATAGATGTTGACGTAGGCACCAATGTGTGCAGATGTGTATGTGTGTGTGCATATTCCCTGATCTGTGATTTTGCTTTCCTCAATTTCAGTTACCTGAGGTCAGCCTTGGTCCAAAAACGTTACATGGACAATTCTGGAAATAAACAATTCAGGAGTTTTAAATTGTGCGCCATCCTGCTCTGTCCTGCCTAGGATTTGAATCCTCCCTTTGTTCAACATACCCACGCTGTCTACGCTCCTGCCATTATTCACTTAGTAGCTGTGTTGGTTTTCAGATCAACTGTCGGGTCTCACAGTGCTTGTGTTGAAGTAACCCTCATTTTACTTAATAATAACCCCAAAGCACAAGAGTAGCGATGCTGGCAGTTCGGATACGCCAAAGAGAAGCTATAAAGTGCTTTTAAGTGAAAAGGTGAAAGTTCTCCTTAATAAGGAAAGAGAAAATTGTATGCTGAGATTGCTGAGATCCACAGTAAGAACGAATCTTCCATCTGTGAAATTGTGAAAAAGGAAAAAGAAACTGCTAGTTTTGCTATCACACCTCAAACTGCAAAAGTTATAGCCACGTTGTTTAGTTATGATGGAGAAGGCATTACATTTGTGGATGGAGGACGCGGGCAGAAGTGCGTTCTAACAGCAATCGGGTTGGGTACTATTCACGGTTTCAGGCAACTACTGGGGGTCTTGGAACCCATTTCCCACAGATAAGGAGGGACTACTGTATAAACACAGAGATACAGATACACATACATGTATATACTTATAAAATACGTAAATAGATATATACATATATATTTCCTAGTTCTGTGTGCTGTGAGGGCTGGAGGGAAAAACACCTGGTAGCGATGAGCACCCCTAGCTTGCAGGGCTTGGCTTCTAAATATTATTCTCCATTTAAAGGAACCAGGGTTCCTTAGAGAAATGGTTGACTCTAGGGCTGACGTACATAAAATGAAAGATGAGACAGGGACATCTTGTACTACAAAGTAAGGAAATGTCCAAAGCATGGTAGGGACATATCAAAAGGTCACAAGATCTGCCTTAAAAGAGTTCCCAATGGGCCAGGCGCGGTGCCTCACGCCTGTAATCCCAGCACTTTGGGAGGCCGAGGTAGGTGTATCACGAGGTCAGGAGTTTGAGAACAATCTGGCCAATATGGTGAAACCCCATCTCTACTAAAAAATACAAAAATTAACTGGGCGTGGTGGTGCGCACCTGTAGTCCCAGCTTCTTGGGAGGCTGAGGCAGGAGAATCGCTTGAACCTGGGAGGTGGAGGTTGCAGTGAGCTGAGATTGCGCCACTGCACTCCAGCCTGGGTGACAGAGTGAGACTCTGTCTCAAAACAAAAAAAAAGAGCTCCCGATGGTCAAGTCTGGGCAATTTGAGTATCTGAACAAATGATAGTTACGTATATTTAACTCTTTGAATAAAATAGGATCTGTGAATCTACATTGATTAAAAAAAAATGCATAAATGGAGAAGAAAGGAAAGCTCTATCTGATAATAGAAGCCTTAAGGTGTCTCCTCATGAAATACTTAGGGATGACTCAGTGGAGATACCCATGAGACACCATCTTTACCAAAACCAGGGATAGGACAATTTGGCATAGTATGCCTCCTGATGGATGCACTGAGAAGAGCAAGGCATTGCTTCTGAGGTGCTCTTGCTACAAACTCATAAATCACGAGGAAACGTCAGACACATCCACCTTGCGGGACATTCTACAAAGTACGTACTTCAAAAAAATGTCAAGGTCATGAAAGATAAAGAAAAACTGAGCAATTGTTCCAAAGTGAAGGAGATTAAAGATAAATTATAACTATAAAAAGCCTGTACCTGTACAAGATATTATTGCAACAACAGGAGAAATTTGAATGGGGTCTGTGAATTAAGTGGTAAAGTTGGATCAATGTTAATGTTCTGGTTTGTTCATTGTCAATGTTAATTGATGGTCTGAATGTGTAAGAAAATGTCCTTGTTTACAGGAAATACACACTGAAAGATTAAAGGGTAAGTAAGGGGGCATGATGTCTGTGACTTTTTCTGTCAAGTGGTCCAGGAAAAAACAAAAACAACTTTAATGTTTGTGTGTGTTTATTAGAAAGAATAAGGCAGATGTGATTAAATGGTCACAATTGGTAATCTGGGTGAGCACTAGTGCTTGGAGTACTTGGAGCTCCAAGTACTATTTTTACAATTTTTCTATGACTTTTAAATTTTGAAAAAAAAAAAAAATAGGCCGGGTGTGGTAGCTCACGCCTGTAATCCCAGCACTTTGGGAGGCCAGGGTGGGTGAATCACCTGAGGTCAGGAGTTCGAGACCAGCCCGGCCAACAGGCTGGTTAGTGAAACCCCGTCTCTACTAAAAATACCAAAATTAGCTAGGCTTGGTGGTGGGTACCTGTAACTTACCCCAGCTACTCAGGAGGCTGAGGCAGGAGAATTGCTTGAATCTGGGAGGTGGAGTTTGCAGTAAGCTGAGACAGTGCCATTGCAACTCCAGCCTGGGTCTCAATAAATAAATAAATACATAAATAAAAAAAAAATAAAAACAGAAAAAACTATCTACTATGGATCTCTATGTACATGGACCACAGTGAATCAAACTGAGCAGTTCAATTCAAATCAAGTCCAGTGATTACGAAATAACGATTAAATTTAAGGTACTATGCTGCTTTACAAGACTCAATCCCTGCCCTCGGGTTACTCACAGAGGGTAATGAGAGCACAGTGAAACAGTGTAGGGTGGGAAATGGGATGGGAGTGCTAGACAAATAACACCAATAGTAAAACTGCTACAGACATTCAAAGGAGCCAGAAACCTTCCCAGAGGAGGTGGTGCTTGCAGAGGTCCTGGATGGGATTTGGGCAAGATTGGTGGTTCTTTTCAGCAGAGAATCACAGGATTTAGGCATTTCTGAGACTTCTGTCTCTCTTTTCTTCTCCATCAGCATGCAGGCTGGTCTGTTTCTCACCTCCACACTCTTGCTCCTACTGCTGCTGCTTCTGCCTGGAATGTGGGCAGTTAGTGAGCTTGTAGGATCCATTGCATCCGTTTTTCAAGACTTAGCTCATGTCTTTTGCTCTGGATTTTCTGACAAGCTCACTCCCCTCCAGAAAGAAAAGTCCTTTTCTCCCTTGTACCTCTACTGTTTTTAGAGCATGTATCGCTCCACACGTGGCTCTTTATGGCACTGGTCAGTTTATCCGTGCATCCCTCCCAGCCTGCAGTCTCCTTGTCGGCTTTGTACGTTTCTATCTCCAGTGTCTGGCCATAGTGGAGGCTCAATAATTGTTAAAAATAATCAAATTAACCTAAGACTTCCCCAAATCATATTTCTTTCCTTTCTTTCCATTTTTATTCCTAGGCTAACCAACGGCTTCCTTCCTTCCTCCCTCCCTCCCTCCCTCCTTCCCTCCCTCCTCCCTCCCTCCTTCCTTCCTTCTTTCCTTCTCTCCCTCTCTCCCTCCCTCTTTCTTTCTCTGTTTCTCTCTTTCTTTTCTTTCTTTCTATTTTTGTTTTTGAGATGGTGTCTTGCCCTGTTGCCCGGATTGGAGTACAGTGGCATGATTTCGGCTCACTGCAAACTCCGCCTCCCAGGTTCAAGCGATTCTCCTGCCTCAGCCTCCCAAGTAGCTGCAACTACAGGTGCCCACCACCATGCCTGGCTAATTTTTTGTATTTTTAGTCGAGATCGGTTTTCGCCATGTTGGCCAGTCTGGTCTCAAACTCCTGGCCCCAGGTGATCTGCCAGCCTCGGCCTCCCAAAGTGCTGGGATTACAGGCATAAGTCATGGCGCCCGGCCTCTAAAGGTTTTCTTTACTCAATAAAATTGAATAAAGTACATGGGCTTTTAAATTTCAAGTCGTGTGAATCTAAATTTAGGGAAGAATATTTTCTTCTCTACGCTCAGACCATCAGTGAAGGTAGAGGGAGAGCTGGACTAGCATGTCCAGCATGTTAGTAATACCAACAAGATCTGCCACAGCAGTGTCTTACATTCTTGGTTTATTAATGATCCAGTGACTAACCCACATAGAAACATGCAAGCTACTCTTTGGGGTTACAGTAGGGGAGACACCATAATGACCACAGCTGAGCGTAAGATTTCTCAAACAAAACTATGTTAACCACTGGTGCTCAGGAGCTTCTTACATCAAAGCAGGATATTTATATAAGGCCAACCGACCTCCTATCCACAATATTATTATTACAGTAATAATTATCAATTGCCAACATTCCTACAAGCACCCTTCATCCAGGCACCCTAAGCACCCAACAAATGTCACAAACTCTGTGTGCATAGATGCCACCTGACCTGTCTGTGGAATGAGGCAGCATGTGGAGGCAGAAACAGCTGCTACCCCTGAGCCCTGGCCTATTACTGAGGCTCTAGTTACAAAGCTAAATGCCTCCTCTCCTTCCCTTTCCATGGTAATTGCAGTTTGAGGTTTGAAAGAACATCTTTTGTGAGTCAATTTATTTTCCACCTCTTACTATACACCATGTATGAGATTGCTGTCTGCTTAGGAGCTGTAAGCCATCAATCTGCCGAAGAATGTTGAGGGATTTCTAAGTGGGAAAGTTTCTCCTTGCTGTAGTTAACAAGTAAGTGATAAAGCTTTCCTTTGTCTTCTGTCTTCAACAAATTTTAAACATTTGTTCCTGCCGAGTGTTGCTTTACCCTTGAGAGAGCAGCCTCCTCACCCCATAGGCAAGGTGGCAGCTGTTGGAAGAGTTTTCAACACCAGATTATTTTAAGGCATTTGTGAAGTGGGTGAAAACTAACTCTAGTGAAAAAAGAAAAGCCCTTAAAATAAACTTTTAGAAATAAATCAGAATAACATTCAAGCCCTGCAGCACAGCTGGCTCCTCCAAAACCCAGAATTTTACTTGTTACGCAGAAGCATTTGCAAAATTCCATCCTGAAAACCATTCTTAAAAAAGTATAATACCAATCATTTTCATATGCTATTCAGCAGAGTGACATCTGACCAATAGCAGGACAGCAAAAAGACTACTGTAATTACAGTTCCTGGTTTCAGCAGCTTCACTCTGAGATGATAAAACAAAAAAAGCTCATTGGCATATGTTGCATAATTTCTAAGTGTGTACTGGTGGTAAATACCAGCTTGATTCCATATCTTGTTGACATGGCCTTAAGGCAAATTTTAAAACAAAACAGTTTTCATTTCTACACATAATAGAGTACAGCATATTTCTCTGTCTTATACTACCATTCACTGGCACTGCGTCATACGATTGAGTAAAAGTAAATGAAGACGCTTACAACTCCCACTGCTACATGTGCAGTGTCATTCACCATCAGCCCAGCCTCATGAAGCCCGTAAGAAGAGGGTAGTGCTTCTTACCCTCCATTGACAGATGAAGGCCCACAGAAGATGCATGGCAGCCAGTCCTGCAGCAGGATTCTCATGGTCCTAAATTGAGCCCATTGAGTCATGACATCTCTCCCGGTGGGGGATTATGGCTTTAAAAATGATTGTTCATGCAGCAAATGGTTATGATAAACAATCTAATAATTCATGATGAAGGAACTAGAAATTCAGGCTAGCAACAAGTGTGTGACAGCTTGAATTTTCACCAGCTGTATTCCTTGGCCTCTGGCCAGGATAGCATCTGACCTTTAAGCTAACCAAGCACGTGGGTATTGCTTATCAGCACTCAGAACCAAAAAACTGCTGTGGTACTTCAGAGATACAGAATTTCATTAGAGAGGGAAAAGGGTGAAGAAAACGTTTTGAAATGGACTTATTTCTTCTTAGATATGGCTCTGAGGGTGAAAAGCATCAATACTATTAATGTTGATTATTAGTATTTGTTGAGTACTTAATTATGAGTCTATCCCTGTATATAGATTCTGTGGAGAGTCAGAAAGGGTTAAGATATAGTTTTTAAGCTCAAAGATGTTCTACGTAGTTGTGGAGAATATGAACACAGAAGATGCAGTCTGAACAGCTGGCAAACTTTGGTCTATGGGTCAAATCCAGCTGGCCACCTGTTTTTGTTGCAGATCATGGGCTAAGAATAGTTTATTTTTAAATGATTGGAAAAAATCAAAAGAAGAACACGTTTTATGACATGTGAAAATTACATGAAATTCAAATTTCAATGTCCACAAATAAGATTTTATTGGCACATAGCCACATTCACTGATTTAGTGGTTATCTATGGCTGCTTTCATGCTACAGTGGGCACAAGAGTGGAGTAATTGTGACAGAGACCATATGGGCCACAAAATCTAAAATATTTACAATCTAGTCCTTGACAGCAAGTTTGCTGACCCTTGAGTTAGGTAATACTCTAATGGTGCTAAGGGGGGTGATTTGGAGCCAGTTGAAGAACCAGAGGACTTCCACAAAGGAAGAAATGACTTTGAGTGAGAATAAAACTTCAAGGTTGAAGTACGTCCAAATGGAGCTTAAAGGATAAAGACATTGAGTATTATGGTGAGGGGGGAAGGGCAGCCAGATGTGGCCTGGCAGCTTGACTCCACTGCTGAGTGCAATGTGACCTCAGAAAGTTCTTTGACTTTTCTATATCTCAGTTTCCTCAGCTGTTGAGTGAAAATAATAATATCTACCTCCCAGGGCTGTTGTAAAACTCACAGCCAGATTTCATATGCAAAGCAGTTAGCACATTGCCTGGTATGGAGCTAGTGTGTCATAAATATTAGCTGTCAATAATAGTGACTGCAATTCATTCTCACACTTAGTATCTATTAATAAAAACAAGTCTACATTTCACATAAACAGTAAGCCTCTTAGGGGTTATTAGTGAATAAACTTTTAAAATATTTCTCATAAGATGAATTTGTGCCATTGAATTTTATGAAGTTATTTAAAATGGTGTCGTAAAAGAAGAATAGCACAAGAAAATATTCCCAGGGTATTCTGTGAAAAGAAAAACAAAACCATGTTATGAATAATCCCCTCAATTTAAGATATTATAGTTAGAGTGAGAACAACAACAACAAAAGAATACCCCCTTCCTGATAGGCATTGTTTTACAGCACACTAAAGCACACTGTCTTATTGTGGTCACTTCAGTTTTAGAAGCCCAGAAATACTATTTTGCCAGTGTATCCAGATTTGAAACCCTCTATGAGAATCTGGTGAAAGCTATTGCCCCCTCTCCTTGATAAATGCACACTGCAAGGGCACACTCACACTTTTGCACATAATCTTAGGGCTTAATGGATCCCTTGAAGCCTGCCCTTGGTTTACAGGTTAAGAACTCCTGCTCCAGTTGCTCATTCTTACAAAACCCACACGATATTGATATACGAACCAGAATGCCAAATTACTAATTTATGAAGAAGAAATAATGTCAAATGGACTAAAATCCTGGCATTGGCCGATCAGCTCATTATCTTGCTATGCAAAAGCTACACAGATCGCCAAAGCACAATTAAAAATGAGGATGGAATCATAGAGAAGGGAATTCAAGAATGGTCTTAATGGCTCTTGTCGCCAAGCTATGATAGTCCAATGCATCTGTCTCCGCTGTCGAGGTACTCTTGCCAAGGATGCTGGAACAGCCAGTCCAGGCTCTTTCCTGTGAACAATCCTTGATGTTTGTACTCTGTGCTTGCAGATGCAGTGAAGGCTAACTCCAAGGGTTATCACTCTTGCCAAAGAAAGTTACAATGGAAAGAGTAGAACCCTGGGTTTAGACATGCTAATTTCCTCATGCTATACCTAGGCTCTTCCATTAGGAAATGTCAGCCACATACACATTCCAGTTTAAGGCGGGTTAGTTGTGTTGATCTTTCATAATTTCCTTCTCAGAAGGGATCTTTATCTTCAACTTTAGGAAGCACCTTACTGTCCCCCCACCTCTTCACTTTCTCTAGTCCATCCTGACTGCTGTGCCTACGCCCTATTAACCTCAACAGAAAAGGCATCAGGTTCAAGAGGCCAAAGAAGAGACACAGAACCAGAAATGAGATCTGTGGAGGTTTTACTACGGGGTGACATACAAGGGAGAGAGTCCAGTGATGGACAAGATAACCCCAGGGCCCAGTAGGGTCAGGCCAGGCAGAAGAACCAAAACCACTTGCAAAAGGCATGCAATTTAGGTAGTGTTTTCACTCAGCACCCTTTCCCTAACAACCTGCACCTGGCACACCCTTTCCCTAACAACCTCCACCTGGCAACCTTCATTCAACCCAAACTTGGGGCCTCCATCTCCTGTACAGCCTGTTTCATGGGACGGAACGATGGTTGGAACAAGGGCAGGCAGGGCTCAGATGCTCCTCATAGACAACAAATGAATCCTCAAGTTGGCCACACCTGGATTCTCTAGCCCAGAACACAAATTCGATGCATCCGCCATACAGGGTCATTCTAAGGGTGTGCTTAAGTTATTGCTGTCAGGTGTCTTTACCCTACATGGACCAAAAAGGAAGAAAAGAATCCCTAGTGTTTGCTTCCTTCTCCCCTTCTTTCTATCCTCCCCTTCCCTCCTTTTATTTTGAGGTATTTCAAAAACCTTTTATTTTGCAATAGTGTAAGACATAAGTTTTTGTTTTGTTTTGTTTTGTTTTTTGTTTGTTTTTTTGAGATGGAGTTTCGCTCTTGTCGCCCAGGCTAGAATGCAGTGGTGCAATCTCAGCTCACTGCAACCTTTGCCTCCTGGGGTTCAAGCGATTCTCCTGCCTCAGCCTCCCGTGTAGCTGGGATTACAGGTGCCTGCCTCCACGCCTGGCTAATTTTTGTATTTTTAGTAGAGACAGGGTTTCACCATTTTGGCCAGGCTGGTCTCAAATACCTGACCTCAGGTGATCCACCCTCCTTGGCCTCCCAAAGTACTGGGATTACAGGCATGAGCCACAACCCCCAACCAAGACATAAATTTTAGCCAGACGCGGTGGCTCACGCCTGTAATCCTAGCACTTTGGGAGGCCGAGGTGGGTGAATCACGAGGTCAGGAGATCGAGACCATCCTGGCTAACACAGTGAAACCCCATCTCTACGAAAAATACAAAAAATTAGCTGGGCGTGGTGGCGGGCGCCTGTAGTCCCAGCTACTCGGGAGGCTGAGGCAGGAGAATGGCGTGAACCTGGGAGGTGGAGCTTGCAGCGAGCTGAGATTGCACCACTGCACTCCAGCCTGGGAGACTGAGCGAGATTCTGTCTCAGAAAAAAAAAAAAAAAGAGACATAAATTTTAAACATAGTAGTTTTCTTCCTTTCTCTCTTTCAAATGACTTTTATTTTAAAGAAGTTCAAGATTTACAAGAAGTCTTAAAAATAGTATAGAAGGTTCTCATGTATACTTCACCCAGCTTCCCCCAGTGAAAATAATTCACATAACATAGTACAGGTTCAAAACCACATTACAATGGTATGATATTCACTCAGGTACAGACGATACAGATTTTACTAGTTTTCACATTCACCGTGTGTGTGTGTGTTGGAGGGGGCATTCTATGATATTTTAGCACATGTGTAGAATGAGAAACCAACTCCACAATCAAGACATGAAACTTCCTCATGTTATTCCTGAATAACCAGTGATTTTCTTTATATACTCTATTCTCAGTGTTATAATAGAAATCTTAGTTCAGCCAACTTATACAAATAAACTCACGGACAATAGTTGTGACGTCATCAACCTCCTTCTCTGGTAAACATATTTAATATGACCAAGGCCTCAATAGCAATTTTTAGACTCTAATTATCTTGGGCTTTATTTCTGAATCTCAATATTTTTTGTCACTTGGCAAAAAATTTTAAATGTATATTCTTGCTATTGTGTAAAAACAGTCTAGAAAAGGTTAGGATTTCTTTCGAAAAGATTTTCGAAAAGGTTAGGATTTCTGACCACAGTTTCTTTAACTATAGTGGCATAATAAAAAAAAAAAATTCTAAGGTAAATTTTGTGTGATGTGTTGGTGTTTATCTTCTTTAACCTTACACTTGTTTTGCTTTTTCCCTAAACTTGTTTCCTCTGGCCTCCGAGGTTTTCTATATACATGTCCTTTGTGCTAACTTTTTACTTTAATGAGTTTCATGTGGACACATTTGGGACCAATGTACGCTTATGGAAAATACCACCTGAGGTTGCACTCTTGTGAAAACTATTTTTGAGGAGTTCAGTTTCCTGGCAAATCTTCTGAGCTGTATACTGTTGTTTGCCTCAGAGTTTACATAAATACCTTTGCATGACTATTCCCTGAGATAGTTAAAAATCACACTGATGAGCTAAGTATTTTAAATAAATAGATAATGACACATGTGTATATTGAGTGTGCACATCATAAATGACTACTCAAGGTAACCGTAGAGAATAAAAGTGACATTCAACCCAGGAAAACATAGCTGAAACATTCTCAGTGACCTCATTGAATCTTAGAGTAAAAAAACTGCAAGTGGATCAAAGATTAGAGGATCCTTGTCTTATGTCTTAGGGAGGAGAAGTAACCCACAATTGCTGGTGGGAATGTAAAATGATAAAGCCACTTTGGAAAGCAGTTTGGCAGTTTACAGTTGAAAGTTAAATATGAAATGGCCTGGCAATTCCACTCCCAAATTTCCTAAGAGAAATGAAAACATATGACCACAAAAAGACTAACATGAGAATGTTCGGAGCAGTGTTATTAATAATCACCAAAAGCTGGAAACAGCCTAAATGTCCATCAGCTGGTAAATCGTACATAAAATGTGCTATACTCACATGACGGAATACTACTCAGAAATGGAAAAGGAATAAACTACTGGCACACGCTATGTTATGGATGAACCTCAAAAACATTACGCTCAGTAAAATAAGTTAGACACAAGAGACCACATATTGTATGATTCCATTTGCATGAAATATCTGGAAAAGGCGCATTTATAAGACAGACAGTGATAGTGATTGCCTGGGGCTAGGGATGGGAATAGGGATGAGGGCATATGGGATCTTACAGGGAAGATGAAAATGTTCTAAGACTGGTTTAAAGAGATGGCTGTGCCATTTGGTAAAGTAAAAATAAGTGAATTGTACAATCAAAATGGAAAATATACTTTGATAATGCTGTTTTAAAAAAGAAAGTGATGCATATCTTTCTGGAATCAGCATGCTCTCTAAGGGCCCTTAGAAACCCTGCACATGATAAGGGATTTTTCAGATCTCAACAAATCACTCTCTGGGTGTCAGCTATCTTCACAGGCTTTCTCTCTTTAGAAGGTGTTCTTCCCTTCTAGTTTCTGGCTTGGGGCTAGAAAAGGTTTATAGTTCTGGCTAGTATTTGAGAGAAAGGACCAGCACTTTTGTTTCCTATTCCACCTTCTGCGTCTTGGAATGGGAAGGGCCAGTTCTGCAGGTTCTGGATAGAAAATCTTCCTGGTAGCAAGACAAGCTTATTTTTAAGTCCGTTGTGGGGTAAACCCGGCCTGAGGAATGGGAAAGTGCTGAGTGGAGGCCTGAGGAGTGAGTGCTCTGGAGACCTAAGGGAAGGAAGGGGCTGGTTTGGGGCCTACAAGTTTCCCTTTGGGAGGAGCCCAGGGGGTGCAGTGGGCACCCAGACCTAGGGAGAAATCTCACACTGTGATGAGAATCTGCCCATCTTACCCAGGGACTTTTGTTACTGTCAATGGTCCTGTCTCATCCAGGACAAGCTTAAGACAACAAGGCCAGAGGAAGCCAGGTTGATGAGCAGGGGACAAGCGTAGCAGTGTAGACTAGGAGAGGAGCCCAGAAAGCAGAGATCCAGTCACAATGCCCAGCAGTGTCCAAAAGAGGATAGCTGGACTAGGAATGTATATTGCGCGCACATGGGACTGTTTATATATTCATATATATCACTTTTAAGCTCTGTGTTCTTGAGCAAATTACTTACCTTCTCTGTATCAGTTATCGATGACTATGTCTATTTCAAAGTATACATATGCTACATTATTAGTATCCTAAAACTTAGTGACTTACAACAATGGTTCTGTAGTTGCTGACTATGGTTCTTCCACTGTCCTTTTCTAAGTGGCTGCACACTCAGGAAAAGGGGAGGGGGCTGAGATGTTGAGCCAGCTGGGCTTCTGTCACCATGTGCTTCGTTTTAGTCATCAGTTTGATCTGGGGTTCTTTTTTTCTTTTCTTTTTTTGTTTTCTGCGACAGAGTCTTGCTCTTTTGCCCAGGCTGGAGTGCAGTAGTGAGCAGAGTCTCGCTCTTTTGCCCAGGCTGGAGTGCAGTAGTGAGATCTCGGCTCGCTGCAACCTCCACCTCCTGGGTTCAAGCGATTCTCCTGCCTCAGCCTCCTGAGTAGCTGGGATTATAGGCGCCCACCACCAGGCCTGGCTAATTTTTTGTAATTTTAGTAGAGATGAGGTTTCACCATGTTGGCCAGGCTGGTCTTGAATTCCTGTCCTCAAGTGATCTGCCCACCTCGGCCTCCCAAAGTGCTGGGATTACAGGCGTGAGTCACCATGCCTGGCCCTGGTCCAGGATTCTTAAATGGTGTCTAGCTTCCAAAAGGAAGAATTGATCAAACCACCGCTTAAGTCATGTTTGCTGATGTGCCATTGGCCAAAGCAAATCACCTGGGTAACCCAGGAATCAATGTAGGAGGGGGCTGCCTGAGGATGTGAATTCTAGGAGGCCTGATTCATTTGGGGACTATCAGCATAATAGTCCATCACACTTCCCAAGCCTCAGCTTCTTCATCTGTAAAATGGGGATATAATACTAGTTTATTAGGCTTCTTATGGAGAATAAATGAGGTAATGTAAGTAAAGCATCTATCACAATGTCTGGCCTTTAGTATTGATGACTGCCTTTTCATTATCATTAACATTGGTATTATGTGACTACTATATTTTCTCCTCAGTGTTTATCAGAGGCAGATGTGAGAGTGAAAACTGGAGGGCCTGATCTAATCTAGGAAGTCTGGAAAAACTTTTTGAGAAAATGGTATTTGAACTGAGATCTGATAGATACATTAAAAGTTTCAGCAGTTTGGGAGGCAGAGGCGGGCAGATCACGAGGTCAGGAGAACGAGACCATCCTGGCTAACATGGTGAAACCTCGTCTCTACTAAAAATACAAGAAAATTAACCAGGTGTGGTGGCAGGCGCCTGCGGTCCCACCTACTTGGGAGACTGAGGCAGGAGAATGGCGTGAACCCATGAGGCGGAGCTTGCAGTGAGCCGAGATCGTGCCACTGCACTGCAGCCTGGGTGACAGAGCAAGACTCCATCTCAAAAAAAAAAAAAAAAAACGTTTCCTAGGCTAAAGGGATCAGTGGGGAAGAGCATTCCAGGTAAGGGCAAAGTGTATGCAAAGGCCCTGTGGTTGGGGGAGTATGTGGCAACTGCCAGCCATGAAAACAGATGATTATATTAAATACAATGCTAGCACTGCAAACCTGGAGCTATTCCCGGGGCATTATGAGCAGGCCCACATTTAACATCTGCAGGGCCCAGGGCAAGAGTATAAAGAGAGGCCCATGGACTATATGTCTAAGTATTTAAAAGT